AGTTGGTGAAGGCAATGATTTTGATCCCAACCTGCCAATTAACCCATCTAGAGGAGTCACTGTGGAGGATTCCCCCAGCCAATGTTTTGATGAAGGAGCTGATTGGTATAAAATCACAAATCCAACACAACTGGTATTTTACTGTGTTTCATTACAACAATTTTTCAATTATGCTTCTTTTCATTAAGCTCATAATGCAGATTAACATATTTCCCTTCCTTTTTAAAGGAAAACTGTGTGGTGATACTAAGTAAAAAATTTAGGGAAGAGGGACAACTTATTTTCAGTATCTTTATCATTTGTCAATGACAAGATGGATAATCAAATGTTCTCTGTCTTTGCAGAATGGAGTTTATGTTTAAATGGGTGGGTCTACTCAAAGCTAAAAGGAAATTTCACAATATATTTTTTGTAGAGAAGACTCCCAATGCTAATGAGCAGCCAAATCTGTCTTGGGGAAACAGTTTGTTACTAAAAATAAATTGCAGCCTAACTGTAACTAAAATGGGATTGCAGAAACCAAGTTACTCCGATTCCTGATTTCTGCTACAGAAGGAGTTGAATCTATTACAAACAGCTCTTATTATTATATATTTTTAAATGTGCCAACTGAGCTCTGTTTTGAAATTAATCCACTTGTGAGCTTCTGTCAAATGCTTACAGCATTCTCCAGAGATTTTTCTTCAGACTCTGCAAAGCCAGTGAGGAACCAGTTCGTAGTCATGAGGCCAAAAGGAGAAACAGTGCACATGAGATATTTATAGAATATGAAGCAAAACAGTGTGATAAAGGGCAAATGAAAGCTTTCAACTAGAGGGTTTTCGTTCCCAGTCACATGATCTTTACATGCAATTTCTTTTTTACTATACAATTTTGCAGGGAAATTAAATCACTTGACAGCAGCCTTTTTCTGATTAGAAAAGAACTGTTCAACTGCTCCTTTACCATTACAATACACTCACTTGTGGCTGTTGCTGTTGAGAGGGTTTGTTTGCTGAAGTTTCTGCAGGGCCAATACTTTCCTGGCAGGTGGAAGCAGAAATGGTGGCCAGAGGTTGCCCTGGGAAGATTTCAGTGTGGAGCATGGAAAACCACCCTGCTGCTGAGCACAACATGCAGAGTTCTTAGTCATGAGCCCCAGATGTTTGGAAAAGCAGGACAAGGATCTCCCTCCTCTGAAACTCTGATAGTCACAGGCAGTAGAAGCAAGCAAAGGTAAATCCAACCTTTCTAATTGCTTTTGTGTCCCATCACCCCCTGTATATAAATGATCTTGTTATATTCATGCCTTTTTGTTCTTAATGCAAAAAGCAAAGGACATTTCTGTCCTGGGAGTTTATCAACCACCTAATTCATTTTTAATATATTTCTTCCAGACTAGTTTGTTCAAGTCAAGTATCTGTGCTGCATCTCTGGGGGCTGCCTTTAAGCAATTCTGACCTTGAATAAAACACCAACTTGACCTGGGTGCCAGATTGTGACTTAGCCTAAAACCATATTCGACTCTTTCAGAAATACAGGAGTTGCCAATTACTAAAATTAGATATTTTACTGCCTAAGTGTGGTGACTCCAAGAAGGGGAATGGTGAAGAGGAGAAATTGCATGAACTGTGTCCCAGAGGTCCAGGCTGATAAAAATAAATGACGTCTCAGATTTCTTTTTGTTATCTTTCATTTTCTTTGTGTCTGTGGTAAAGTTTGAGGGAGGCTAAAGAAACTGGATAGTTTATCTCTCAAATATAGAGGCTGATGCTGTCATTTCAGAATATTTTCACAGAGAAGGTGATTTATGGCAGCAGCCTCTTCTCCTTGGACATGAGCAGCACATTTGCAGGTTCGAAGTGTGTTCTCTACCTGAGCTTCTCACCACACAGGCCATCACCCAAACTGTCTTGTCTCATCTGTGCCAGATTCCTCCTTAGTCCTGGGAGCTCCTGTGTTATACTAATACTTCACAGACTCATTCTGCATTGTGACAGGTGAATGAGTGGATGAAATGCTGAGGCTTTAGCAGCAGTGGTGCTGTATGGGAACTGAGTGCTGCAGCTGGGCAGCTGGGGAGCAAGGACTATGAATGTGGTACATCTATCTGTAGTCAGTCAGTCCCTCAGACAATTTTACAGATTTGCTAATGGGAACAAGGCTTTTTAGTGAAGCTTTTCCAGGCCCTTACAAAGATGTGAATGTACTCCAGAACCCTGATGAATGATAAGCAGAAACACTGAAAGACAAATTTCCATTGCTGCTTCTCAGACACATGAACTCCTCCAGAAGTCAGGAGTTACTCTAAATTTAAAGAAATCAATGCTGGCTTCCTCCCAGGATGTAAACTCTTTTTAAGAGCTCTGTTTTATGTGTCTGTGTGTATGTGTGTATATACATATGTAATGTTGTTTTCAAATACCCAGTGGAAATTTAATGGAGTTGCAGGAACAGTAGAATGGAGGAGAACTAAGTCTATATCCAGCATATAACCCAAACAGTGCTGCTGAATTGATCCCCAAGAGGAAGGCAGGGCAGTACTGCAAAACTAGTGTTGAGAGGTTTGGGCTGCTCAGTCCCATTGAACAGCAAGAAAAATCCCCATTTTCTCTGCTCCTCTAGTGTTCCTGCTGGACACTAAAACCAGGCTAAAAATAAAACCAAGCAAAACTGGAAGAAAAAAAAAAAAGATATTGGAAAGAGTGGAGGGAAAAAATTGTTATTTTCAGCAATGTATTCTGTGCAAGCTTTACTTTGCTGGGAGACAATTAAAATGGCAATTTTGAGCCATGATGGCTCATTGTAGTTGTTCAGAAATGGGGTACTCCCTTTTCTCTCTACACCTGGAACGTTCCATTCAGACTGGCAGTATCTCTGGGGGACACTGCCTTCCCAACATCTGCACAGGGGTGAGGCAGAGGAGTGAGGAGGTGCTGTCACCCTGCCGTGTGAGCTGCTGGGTGTCCCCTCTCTGTCACACCCTGTGCAGAAGCAGTAGGGCCCAGGCAGTGCAGCTGCAAGGGGTGGTGACAGGATTGTGGAGAGCAGGGCTTTGGAGCTGCCTTAGCCTGGCTTTGCTTCCCTCAGGTGTTTCTGGGTGCATGATAAGGCCTCAGCTCATCTGTTCCTGTCTGCTGTGGCATCACTGATATTTATTCACTTGTAGTCCCTTGTGTATGAAGCCAGTACAGGTCTCTCTTCCTAAGCTAGACTGTGACCAGAACTACAGTCAGTAGAAAAACGTCACATGCAAATTCCCTTACCAATGACCTGGAGCAAGGGTGAGTCTGAGAGAAGGACCTTAAAGCCCTGGTGGTGTTGGAGCACAACTGGACACAAATCCTCCTCTTTGCACTTCCTGTCCCAGCCTGAGGCTCAGCCCCTGCAAGTGAGAAACAAGCTGATCCCATTCATTACTGTCACCTTCAAATATAAACCTGCTGGAAAAGAGAGCTCTTCTCAAAGCCATCCCATACTCTCTGTGCTAACAAACAAGATCATGCTTGTAAGAAGATCATACCATGAAGTGGCATGATGTTCTCTTTTTTTTTTTTTTTTTTTTTTTTTTTTTCTTAAGCTGATCAAGAGGGACAAGAGACACAGGAGAGTGGCTTAAGGGTATTCAGATCACAAGAGTTTTTAATGAACATGCAGCTGGCTGCATATGCTATTCCAGAAAAATAAACACCAGTTGTAAATATCCAGCCCTCTTGCCATCTCTGAAGAATTTCTGCCAGCTGATGTAAGTAGCTGAGGAAGAGGTTGGAAAGCTGTCACCCTTGTGTGTTGGTGGAGTGGAACAAGCAGTCTGCAAAATCTGGGGCAGGGAAAGTTAAGCAGAAGGGACTGTCCCATCCCTGTTTCTGCTGGATCGGTGTTGTGAGCCTGGTTCTGCTGAAGCACACACGAGAAGAGTATGCACTGTAATCTACACTGAAGGCTCAAAGGGTGAATCTCACTGGGCACAGGCCTGTTTAAAGGAGTTGCTGAAATGGTCTCTTAAAGTATGGGACTACATCACATGCTCTTGTGTGCTCTCAGCTGTCTAAAGCTGGCTTTTATCCTGCCACTCCAGATGCAGGGAAGTCCTTTGTTGGATGGGATCCTTTGGCGTAGCTGAGGGGGCTGAGTACAGGCAGAGCAGGGGCTTGGCTGGAAGGGCACCCAGCCACAGATACTGAGCTGAGCTTTCAGCCCTAGGAACTCTGCACGGGCTATGAAGTGAAGCAGCCCTTACTCAGAGAGGCTTTTCTGGCACAAAGGCAGCACTGAAGAAAGATCTCCCATGTTTTGAAGGAAGCATTGATTTGTAAAGTATCAAAGTATCATGCAAAGTGATAGGTCTCCTTCCTGAAGAGTGGCTGAGGCTTCAGAAAAAAAAACATTGTGCCTTTTATATATTTCCCATTTCTTTGGTGTTACACAGTTATAGAGACTACTGCAAGAAGTTTTAATTTTGGTGTAAGAATTCATCTCCTTCTGCCCCTCTTTCCTCATATGAAGTCAGTGAAGTGAAAGTTCAGGTAGTATCTGGGTGTGCTCATTCAATTTCAACAGTTAAAGTTTCCAAAATTTGGACTCCAGCCCACAGACATAGGAGATTTTAATACATGTCTGATTCCCTGCATTGTTACCTCCTCTTTCAGCATTTTACTTACACTGCAATAGGATCAAATTAACTTTATTATGAGTCATACATGAGCATATATGCACGTCTGTATGTACATAGAAAGAGGGAGAAGGGAAATACACTAGGATATTTAGAGTGCTTAGTATCTTCATATTTGCATAACAAAATCTAGCCTATTCTGTTTCCATTTTTACACAGACTTTTCTGATTACTTAATCCAAAGCCACATCCTTCACTCATGGCTGCCAAAGCAAGCCACAGGCAAGAGGTGAGCTGAGTTGTGTTTGGTCAGTCCCCATGCAAGCTGTTCTTTCCTTTTTTTTCTTTTTTTTTTTTTCTTTTCCTGCTCTGTGGTTTACTTGCTCTTCTTTTTTTTCTTGGGTTTTTTTTTTTCCCCTGACTTTTGGCTTGTTTTGGGTTTTTTTCTTCATCATTTTATGTATGATCCTCTTGGTTTGGGTTGTTCTTTACCTACGTCTTTACATTGCACCTAATCACATTGGGCTGTGATCCCAAATTTGGGTCTGTGTGCTACTGGAATATAAATAATAATGTCTTGTTGCTTTGGTATGCAGTCAGGTTGGAATCTGCAACTCTACTCTGCTTGTGGGCACTACCCATTGCAAGACTGCTTTCTGAATTTTTGCCTGAAAGTGATACTGTGTGTAGTACAAATAACCCTGGCACAGCAAAATAATGAACAGCAGCAGCATAGGAAAAAATTCAGCTGTGCCAATGGTGAAAACATTTTCTTTCAGGAGTGAAATTGTGCTGTAAGTACTTGTTGGTTTGTTAGAAGTCTTGGGATGTGTAAATACAACTGATCACCTCTTAAGTTATTATTAAGGGAGTTTATTGGCGAGTCTGAGGTTAAAAAACCCCTAAAGCTCAAAGGATAAGGGAAACAGGTGCTTTCCCAGAGCCTTGGAAGTTATACTACAATCAGTTTTTTTCCTTCCCTTTGGGCTTAATAGTATACTAAAGTTGATATGTTATAGCTGTGGTAACATTTATAATAAGAAAATATGCAAATACAGCAGCAACATAATTTTTCCATACTGCTTAGCAAGTAAATGGTTGTGTACAGAATAGCCTTCAATCCTGTAAGCATCTTTCTGTCAGAGGCAGCTCCTGTTATTTATGATAGCAATAAAACCACTGATTATTATTGGACAAATTTCTCAGACCTGAAAAAAAAAAAAAACTTCAGACATTTTACTTCCAAATCTTTCAGTATGTAACAAAAGGTTTGAGGTTTCAGAAGTTTAGTCCCTGAGGATAAACAAATAAAGTTGTAAAGAGCACACCTTGCTAATATGATTGTTCCTTATTAGCATAATAGTTTTCAAATAAACAACCTGCTAATGTCTCTAATAAGCAATTACTCTGTGATGAAAACTGCAAATGGGGCCCACTGGTGGGTAACAGATAACAGTAAAATCTGTCAATAAAACAAATATTGTTCTGCCTGAACAGCTCTCTTCTTCACTTGAAGAGAACAGAGCTGCCTGGGTATTTTTATAGGCTGATGCTTGACAGCCAGATATGTTACAACACTGCTCCTCTGACGCTTTGTTGTGATATTACATGAAGTCTTTACTCTTTATGGTGTGTTACAACAAAATAAGGCAGAGATCTTCACTTATTTAGAGCTACCTACTCTTGAGTCCAGTAAAACCACAGTAGGAAGAATGCTGGCCCAGGAATAGGGATTTGACAGATCAATAGAGTTTGCTTTCTTTCATAAAAGGAAAATGATAATTAAAAATTTGGAGTCCATCCTGTCTCTGAAACATGCAAATGAATGGAAGTAGCATCTCAGGACTCTTTTCTTCTTGCTATTCTAAATAATTTTCAGTGGCAAAAAGGTGTTAAATGCATGCAATAATCACACTTTCCCAAACATTGAAAAAAAAGTCATAACTTTTCAAGCATGGTTGACAAACTATTTTCAAAACATTTGCAGTGTAATTGACATATACTTGCCTAGTTGCTCTACCATTGATTACAAAGCTCTGTTGTGCTTGCTTTGGTCCCTGTACTTCTGCACTCATTTTCCCAAACTCATTTTTCATTTAGTTTTCAAGAAATAAGGGTATGGAATATGAGAAAATCACAAATCCCCAAGCCTGGTCCTTACCAAATTCCGTGGTGAGTATGAGGGTTTTATTTTATATATAGCTTTGTAGAAATAGGATCATTTAAAGGAAAATCTTGAGCAATTCTTATCTTTGTTCCACTCTGGGCTGACATCATGGTAGGAAAACGCAAGGAATGTACAGTAAAGCCTGGTGTGGGAAGAAGATCTTGACAGAAGGATGATTAATGGTGTCTGAAAGAGGGAAAACAGTTATGTAAGAAATACAGCCCATGAGTCTGAAACTGAAGAAACCATCACAGGTGCAGGCTGTAAACAGGCCCCAGAGGGAAGAATATTGGTCTTTTAAAGGTGGACTCTGTAAACAAACAGACGAGGCATAGGAAATATCCTTCCATATAAATTTTTATGGTACAAATAAGTACATGGAGCACATAAGCACTGTAAGTTTTATAAACTCAAAGAACATCCATATTGCAGTAAAGTGCACAAATAGTACCACAGTGTAAATTTATATAGCGTGAGGCAGATGTGTGGTCTGATGGCTTAGTTTGTTTTTCTGTCTTTAGCAAATGACATGATTTCTGTGTCTCTGGTTTTGTTTTGTTCCATTTAGCTGCTCTCAGCTACATAATTGTTCTTTCAGCTTGTAAATATTATGGTCAACCTCCAGCAAAGTTTAGATGAGGCCAATCAAATGTAAACAAGTGTGTCTGCACCAATGATGTGAATAAGCAAAGTCATCTCTTGTGATGTTTCCTCCCCCTTTTCTTACTCCCCTGGGACTGCAAGAGCTTTATGGAGCCTGTTGTGGTACTGCAGAGCCTGGGGTTCCATTTAACTGCCTGTCTGGGATTGTTTTTTCTATTTTTCCCAGATATTTGGTGTTGAATTTATCCAGAGGATAAATAAATGGACCAGGATCACCTCTGGGGAACATGTCACATCTGCCCTTGCTTCTGCCCTGCCCTAGGGTGTTTGCCTGCAATATCAGCACAAAGTTAATACACGTGTGAGGTGCAGTGCAGGGGCCCAGCAGGGCTGAGGGTGAGCAGACTCCTGAGGAGCTGCAGCCTGATGCAGGGCTGTGACACAGAGGGGTGGCAGTGCTGCTGGCAGAACCCCTGTGCAGCTTCCCAGCAGAGCTCAGCCCCTGGGCTGCTGTGCCCTGCAGCAGGGGCTGCCTGCAGCACAGGGCTCTGCCTGGTGGCTCTGGCAGGGCTCTTACTGTGCCAGGGCCCCAGGTGCTTCAGTCACCAAACCCTCTGGGTGAAAGCCTGTGCATTAAAAAGGTGCATATGGATCAAATTTTATCCTTATTGTTACCCCATTATTACCCTGAATGTGATCTTTAGGTTTTCATTCCATGTTGCTCTACTGTCACTGTGCATCCCCAAACCTGCACGACATGGCAGGCAACACGGTGAGTGCATCCCATGGGCTTTCTGCTGCAAATGCAAGAAAGCAGGTGGGTTTTCTCTGCATGCAACCTCCTCCCCTTGCTTTGGAGCCTCTCACTGTTGTGCACTGAACACAGGCCCTGCCTGTTCCCCTGCATCCAGTCTTTACCTGTCTCCCACCCCAGTTTTGTGTCTCCAAGTGCCCAAATCCTGCTGTAGCTTTTTGCAGCTGTAGCAGTTCAACACTACTGCCAGCCTGACATTCCACACCTCATGCTCCCATAAGCAGTGCACTGTTGGGTCACAATTTTTGGTTAGATATGAATTAACCTTTAAGGAAAAAACCCACCAAAGTAATGACAGCAATGCTATTGATCTCCTGGGAACGGAGCCTGGGAGGTGTCTGACATTTTACATTGTTATCTATGGGAGAGGAAGGAGCTGGGCTGTTTTTTCCCACAAGAAATGTATCTATTTTTGAGAGCAAAGTACTTTCTTTGCCATGGGACCCAAAACCATTTTCATTCACTGACTCACAGTCTCTGGAGGCCTTTTCCCTGAGCTTAGGAGGCAAATGCTTAGTGGTTTGCAGATGGAAAAGTGACAGCCCAATTAGCTAAAACTGTTAATGTAAAGGTAAAGATGTTACCTGTTTACAACTATCTTGGCTTTGAGAATCAAACAGTCTCCACCAGCCTCAATCCTCTGTTTTTACATAGAGTTGCTGTAGGTTTGGTCATAATAACTATTGGGTGAGAATCTGAAAGCAGTGTATCAACAGCATATGATTTATTCTGTGGTTCTTGTGCAGAAAGCCAGAGTATGATTTCATGCTTTCCTGTTTCTCTTTTTGTCTTCTTATGGTATGAAAATCATTATTAGTTATTTTCTATTAAATTTTTCCAGTAGCCTATTTGCTTAATTATGGATGAATGTTTGTTGATGAATTTTTCCTTTCCAAGAGACAATCTCACTAAGACCCAGGCAGAAATGACAGGAAATGTATTTGGACAATGTTCACTTTGTTCTTGTGGTGTATGGCAGAGCCAGTATGGGTCAGCTTGGCTGCTCCTGGCCTCAGACTGATCCACAGGATGCTTCCATGTGTGGTGCTATTTATTCTTTGAATGATGAGGAATGTCTGTAAAGCATTCATGGTCCAAACAGCTGAAAACTCTCTGCTGCATCTCTGCAGGGTCTGAGGGTGGATCCACATCTGCCTTGTCCACATGGAAGGACAAGACTTGGTGGCAAATGTACTCTGGGAGCTGCCAGTGTCCACACAGGCTGGAAGTTTTGGCAGGCATGGGACACTGGCAGCTGGGACCAGACATCTAAACACGCTTTTCTCTTTCATTCAGAGATTGCATAGGGACTGTTTAACCTTTAGACAAAGCCTTTCTAAATAAAATGCTTTACCAAAGGAAGAAAATATTAAGGAAAGAGGTATAACAATATTTAGAATTCTTCCACATTGCAAAATCTGTGTGAGGAACTTCAGAAGAGCTACTACCAAATATGCCCAATAGCATTTCTTAATATTTTAAATGTATATACCTAATCAGCTCTTTAACTTGTGCTCCAGGCTTAGTGAAATGGAAAAAAATATTTTAAAAATTGCCTGAAGGGATGAAGTCCCTTGGTATTTATTGTAAATGCACTGCTTTGCTCTTGTTAGGAGCTTTCATTAGTTTGAATTGTCTGTCTTAATGCAGCTTGTAAATTACTGACAGTAAAGGAGATTCCAAAATGGCATGTGTTACCATGGAATACATTTACTGTTAATATATAATAAAGAGGTAACATATATCCTGAAGTCAAAAAGGAACTTCAGATTTCTTATTCAGAAGATGATATCTTAATTGAGCTCACCTGAGAGATCACTGGGTAATGTTCATGTGATGTTTTTGCTTAAGGTGTGTCTGTCAGGTGCAGTTGGTTGTTTTGAAAAACATAGCAAAGAATTTCAGTGCAGTGAAACCATTTTGCTGTCTGCTCACCACAGGTCATGTTTTCTGTTGGCTTTCTGGAGCTTGGTGTGACAGGCTGTGCCACAGTAGTGCAGAGGGTCCACAAGCTTCTGTATCTTGGGGCACAGAGGCAGCAGAGCTACAGGACACCACTCTGGAGTGGGATCCTGGCTGGGTTGTAACCTACCTTATCTAACAACTGAGAGCTCCTTGCACTACATTTTTGATGCTGGTGGGCAGACTATGGACATGCAATGTGCTGAAGGTGTGGACAGGACTGGCAGTCACTACCTTGTGTCTTTGGGGAAGAATTCCAGTCTGTAAATGACCTGCTGCAGCTGATTTTGTGCTTTTTCCTCCAATTCTTTTGAGTCAGTCTCATGTGCAGAATGTCTGCTCAAAATCCTTCTTACTGATGTTTCACGGTCTCTTATTTCCATTATTTGACTAAATGGAGATCTTGTACCTGATGCAGCATTAAGAGCAGGTCTTATAATAATCAGTAGTTTTAGCAGCTCTTTCTATTCTCCCTGCTTTTGTGGCTTATTATAAAAGTGTCAATCTCTCACTGCTATCTAACAAACAAACTTCTGCCCTGGATCCATTTCCTCTTGGGCAGTTTGCCAGGAATAACAAATTAAACTCCAGCTCTCAGTTTAAGAAGTTTCACTTCACTGAGTAGAGTTCAAGTACAGTCTATTATCCTGACTAAGTGATAGAGGAGTCCTTTGATGTTTGCTTCTTGAGTGGTTTATACAAGCCAGGGCTTCCTGTAGGAAAAAGAGCTTCAGCTGAAGGAAATACTTGATTGATCAGGTAACCTCTTCCTCTCACTCTTTCTTGAGAGTGTCTGAGTGCCCAATGACACACACATGCAGAGATACAAAGAGAGACCCAGTATAGTCTCCATCAGAAGTCACACAGTTTGATGATGTTTCTCAGTTTTTCAGGTGAGAGGGACCATTCCTGCTCCTTCCACCTTCCTGTTCCCCACTGCTTTCCCCACAGCAGCTCTGGTGGTCCACCATGGCTTGTTCAACCCACTTAACTTGTAAGACTTCACAAACAAAATCAAGTGTTAAGGGGACAGAGAAATAACATTATGTTGGAACAGAAGTCCTCCCTCTGCACCTGCCAGCCAGCAGGTCAGCCTGGCTGTGACACTGAGCCATGCACTCAGGGCTCCTCAAGAGCCCTCTGCCCTTCAGCTGGGTTCCACTCTGAACTCTTTCTAGAAGATATTGGTTTTCTCCTTTGATCACCAGGGGCTGCATTCATTTCATCACATAAAATGATTCAGTGCTGGGTTTTTTCCCTCTGTAAGAAGGTACAGTGATGCTCTCCTCCCAGTAATTCTGGCCTGGAAGTTTGAAACAAAAGCAGAAGTTGGCTAGAATATATTGAGGGAAAACAGGAAATGTGCAGTGCAAGCTGGTCAGAGCATAGGGCTCAGCTAAGAACAAAAAGGAAAGGAAAGAGCTACCAGCAAACCTTGCATTGGCTGAGTTGTTTCAAGATATCCACTTTTCTGTGGTCAGTGGTAGTGAACTGCTGTGCTTGGATTTCTGAATCTGAGTATTTAAAAACTCCCTTTGTTAGCTTGTCACTCACAAATAATTGGGGTATTTTTTTCTGTGCCAATTAATGTTCATGAAGACTTTGCTTCTCCCTGATTCTTTAGAGGTGTGGCCACAACAGGTGGTGGGTGCAGCATTGATTTCCTGTCCACCTTGGAGCACCTGGGCACAGAAGTGACTTGCAGAACTCTTGCCCCTAACCAAGGGGACAGCTGAACAGCTTGTGAGGAGCACTGCAGTGCCAGAAGCAGCTGTGCTAACAGTTCAGTGTTACAGGGGAGGTCTTGCTCCCCTTCTCAGCTCCTGGCCTTGCAATTCTGCTAAGAAAAGATCAGGAAAGTTCTGCTTGCTACTTTCTTTGACTTGGGTGTTGGGTGTCAGGCAGATACCTACTGAGCTGATTCAACTCACTAACTCAAAAGAAAATCATCTCCATGTAACATTGTCACCATTGGCTGGAAGGAGGGCATGAGGAGATTTGGAGGCAAACAGCCTTTATTTTGCAATTAGATGTTGCAATACCTGTGGATATTGCATGCTCCACAGTGTTGCAAGAGTCCCTTGAACAGAATTAATTGAATTTGGTTTGTAAAAGCTTGTCTAAAGTATGGGTATTGGAAGTTGTGAAATTACCTGTTATTCAGTGCATGCAAAGCAATCCTATACTATTTTATTACAACTTATTTTTGGATAGTGTAGAAGCAGCTTTTCCTTCAGCTATAGCTTTCCCTTCAGCTATATCCATGCATGAAACCCTTTTAATCCCAAACACCCAGACTCTCCTGACATCCTCTGTTATATAGAGAAGCACTTTAATAAGGTCTAATTACCTGTAGAAATGCACATGTTGAGACCTCAGTGTTTCCTTGCTTTGGAGCCTGATGTAACAGCTGGTTTCAGAGTACCCTGTGGATGTCTGAATAAACATGGGAGTTGTCTTTTTCCCACAAGTTATTTGCTGTTACTATCCACTTTTCAAGATCTGGACTCCCATCCCAGAGAACTTTGGAAACGTTTGTGCATGAAGCCCCAGGAGTTTGTCCCATGTAATGGACACTGATGTTTTCCAATCAGCAATGTTATTTTTAAGCTCTGCCATGTCACATTATCTTATTGCTTCACAGACCCCGTGACTGCTTGAGCCTGCAGACAAATCTAGCACAGGCCAGGGGGAGGGTAATTCTTCCTTTTTGGTCTGCCCCCTCCCCACTTACATCCCAGAGGTCTATTTCTATCTGGGAGTGGAGGCTGAGAGGCCAGTTGTCCATATGTGAGTTTATGTGACAGTGCCTCTGTGAATCCAGGCAGCCTAGCTGCCTTCTCTGAAACTCTCCTGTAACCCACGGTGCTTCTTCTTCCCCTAGTGAGACTTTTGCCTGTAAACAGCTGTAAGTTTTCTTGGGAATCATTTCTAAAGCAGTCATAATTTTCCTGTTGTATACCCAAAATATGTACACCTTTTCAAAGAAACTCAAATGTTTCTTTGAAACCCTCCTCTTCCTGCCTTCCCATAGAAATGCTGCTCATCAGCTAGTTCAGCATTTGTGCATTCCTTTTCTTTCCTAGAGCTCAATGATACTCCTTTCTCAGTCTGAGGATGGATAAAGGATGGTCCCTCACTAAATGGAAGCATATTTTTCCTCACAAGAGATTTGCTTTTATCCAAGTTGATTCTTGAAGGAAGACAAAAATGCTAGAAAGAGAGATGTGAGCTGAAGCAATTTGTTTGTCTGCCTGCAGGCTCACCCTTACATCAAAGTTCAGTGGAGTTGTGTGGTCAGATTGTCAGGTGTGTGTCTGAATGTGAGGAAATGAAGTTTACAATAACTACAAAAGGATAAGCTTTTTAAAAGTTGAATTGGCCAAGTCTCAGTCGCCCTTCTCTTAGTTCCACTTATTAAAAAGCATGTTCTTATTTTCTCATGGATTCTCTTCTGGATGGAGCATTGCAATGAGTTCCATTATACTCATCCTATTCAGGTAGTATGTCCTCTGGAAACTAAATTTATAAGTGATAAATTCTACTATCTTTGCCAAGATTCTAATTTTTGCATTCAATGAAACACATTCCAAGGTGGTGTAAAACAGAGTTCCCCAGTTGTAGATAATTTTATTTTTGGTGTTTTTAAATTTGGTTTTAAATTTCAATTTTTAGGATCATCAGCTTTGAAGTGGTAACCCAGGCTGGGTCCAGATTCTGACCTGCAGAAGGTTTGGAACAAGGTGTTTCAAACAAATAGCATTTTCTTTGGATAAATTCTGATTATTTGAAATGCCTAATACTTCATACGGCTGGTCAATTTGATTTGTTGTGCAGAAGAACCAGACTCTGTCCTAGTTGCCCAAACCCCTCAGACTGTCCCTGGGTGTGCTCATGGAGACACAAGAGCAGGCACCTCAGCATCCCCTCCTGAAAGTCTCTGTGCAGGGTGTGGTATCTCCCCTTGCAGCTGCAAGGCTGGAACTGCAGCCTCTGTGACTGACTGCAGTTCTGATGGTAAACATAAACCAGAAATACACAGACTATTTGCTCTGAGAGACAAAGCAGCCCTATGGCAATAGGACTCCTGACTGCCAGCATTTCTTGCCTGCCAATTTACTTCTGTAGTAACTGGGATAAGGCCTTAGGGGGAAAAAAACCATGACAACGAACATGGCAAAATATGAAGCTCCTTTTCTTTAGTAGCAACTGCTCTCTTCCTAAAGCTGGCAGTGAGAGAGAAGACATGAAGAGAGCATGAAGCTCCTTTTTACCCAGTGTGTATTGATTTCTACCACTAGCAAAGGACACGTAAGAAATTCCTGCCCCAAGAGATTGTTCCTGTCACAGGGTTTTGAGCCGGCATGTCACAAAGCCAGGACACACTGCCCCACAAGCAGCTGCACCTGTGTCCCTGGCATGGTGAGCTGCTGTGGAGTAGCCATGAGCATAAAGCCACACTCACAGCACACCTTGGGCAGCCAGGGCAGCCCAAGGGAAGGGATCCTTCCCACCTGCTGGCCAAGCAGCAGCACATGTGCTCCGTTGCTTTTGTTCATTGTTTTTACAGGTTTTTCAGCAGTCAGAATGCTGAAGGGTTGGATGCTTCTCTTTATTGAGAGTAAAGAAGACTGTGACATAATCATTTGATTGAAAAATAGGCAAGGAGGGACAGAGGGAAGAGAAGCAAAGCCTTGACATCTCTCCAGCAAGAATGGAAGAGGAAGGTGATGATAGGTCCTTTTTAGGAAAGCTTTGCTGCTTCCTTATGAGTCACTCCCATTCAGCTGGAGGGCCTTGTGTTGTGTTTTGCCCACCATGGGAATAGCCAAAGCATCTCCCACAGAAATTTTAGGGGTCACATGCCCATGTCCACTGAGTTCAGCTTTTGGAACTTCAAGTTTGTTGTGCCAGAGGCTCAGTGTGCCTCTCTGTATGTGCTACTGGTAAAGGCATTCATTGCAAATTGGTTTTCAGGCTTTTTGGCTTTCTCTTTTGTGGTAAATCACACCTCCTAAAACTTTGGTGAAAGGATGGGAGAAAAGGAAAACTGCATGCAACTGACATTTTTGTATTATTATTGAACTATTCTGATGAGCGAGAATCCTGGAAGTTTTTTAGTGATTTGAAACATTTCATTTTTTTGGAAAAGTCTTTGCAGAAGTGGATTCTGGGATTTTGGCTGGCATTTCCCAGCAGCTGTTGCCAGCTTTCCTACAGGTCTGCTACAAAGTGCATAGACTCTGGTGTGCTGTGAGACTGTATGTTCCTGGATGTTTTGTCTCTGTGACAGTCCCCACTCCTCATTTCAAATTTTAGAAGTCTGCACAAAGAAAAAGGCTTGAGCATCACACTGCACAAGTGCAAATGGAAACTGCCTTTGCTGGACCCCTAAGGCCCACCACCGTCTTTGCTAATAAAGATTCACTGTGTAACTCCCCATTAAAAGTGGCAGTTGGAGGCCAGGAAAAAATCAGTTATCTAGTGTTTGAAATATCCGTTTAGCTGCTGGGAGCCACAATTTGATCTTAAGCAGGATACTTAGATGTGTTCATTTTTAAGTGTCAGGCAGCTCAATGACTTCAGTCAGCATTTGCATTTTATGGGGGTACATGTAACCTGAGGAACGAAAGGAAAGTCTGCTATTTCCTGTAAACATTTTTATATAAAAGTGTCACATGAAAGGCTGTTGGATGAAAAAATTACTGTATTGTAGAGTGCCTGGAAAAAATCACTTAGGCATTATTTTAATCCTTGGCAGTAACTATTCCAATGTATATTGTGTGTTTAGGAAACCTAGAACACTGTTCCTAAAATGACTTTCTTACGACTCTGGGTACAGAGCCAAGTGCAGGGAATCTGTGTTTGGGTGAGCAGATAGAGGCTGTCCCCTTTGGGACAGTCAGACCATGTAAGGATGCAGAAGGATTCTGACTGTTTTACCTGGAATTTAATTCAGACCACATTGGCTTAGCAGTGGCATAAGCCTGTAACCAAAGCAAGTAAGGCTAAAGGTTGACAGTCATTAGGTGATTTTCCTTATACCCCAACAAAAAGCATTGATAATGGGTTCTCTCTCTTTGTCTTCTCAGGCTCTTTTGATTGGTTGAAAGGTGTTAAACATGCCATGTCTTTTAGGGCTTTCATCTTTACGGCAACAGTGTTAAATTGCTCTCCTTGTATAATTATTGGATAAAAAAGAACAGGGAATGAAAGAACCTGGAAAAGCATGAAGATACCCAAATGAGACAAGCAGAAAACACATTTTGTGACCATAAGATGTAAATCAAAGATCTTATATATTCAATAGGAAATTTTGTCAAGTGGCAAAAGTATTTTGGTGATTAATTTTATGGTTAATCTTGTATCCCACCACAGAAATCTAAGTTTAAAGAGTGATCTAGTGACTGGCAGCAGAAATAGATCAATAATTTCAAGGCTTGATATGTCTCCAGCAGAAAACAAGTGCCAGTAAGAAACAAAACCATCCCTTTAATAGAGAAATTGGTGGCACAGGTCACACATACTTTGACAAGTCCTTTACTCTTGTGTCATTTGTTGGTTTTGCTGTTATCTGTAGGAATGGTCAAGGAGACTGATGTGTCATTGGAGAGCAGGAGAAAGGTCACACACTAAACTTGTCTCCTGTACTACCTTTAACTGAACTTCCCCTGCTTTTTCTCCAGACTGATGGCTTTTCTGCACAGATTTAGCTGCAAGCAGTGCCTTCAGAGATGCCAGGTTAATGTGACAGCTGGGCCAGCAAAAGTCTTGAGAGATTGCAGGAGAACTGCAAATATTGATGGAGGAAGAATTTTTGGTAATGGTAAATGGCAAACAGATGCATACAAATAAAGGAAGACAACCATAAAAGGTCAAGAAAATACAAATAGAGGAGAACAAGACACAATCTTTCCATGTTTAAAAGACCTTCTTATGTGGCAGTTCTGGACACATGAGCTGGTCTCATGCAGTCAGATACTTTTCCCAGGAAACCTTGAAGCAGTTTGAATGATTCCTATTTATTTTCTGCTGCTTAAGCAGCCTGTGATTGATGATATTGAGGAAATATGAAGTGTCTGACAACACTCTAAACAGCAAACTGTATTGTGTTTATCAGGACCTAACCTGTCCAGCTCTGGTTTTATTTTAAGAATAATTAGTTACCAGTTGCTGTAGTGAAGACACACAGATCTGAGAGGTATCAGCCTCTGTCCTATCTGCTGGTGTCATTTTCCATGAGGGAGGACGGAGAGAATACAGAGGTCCTTATTTCAAATATCCCTCTTCTGGGGGAGTCCTCTCCAAGAATTTTAAAGTCCCAATCATTCTGTGCTCTTTGCTCTGCCTGAATGGAGGTTTCTCTGGGAAGTGTTTAGAGGCTGTTTGTTGTACCAGAGGAGTTGGGGAAAAAGCTTCCTTACCCCTTCTCTACTGCTCATCAGAGGTAGCCACCTGACATTTTGCAAATTGCGGTCTCTTTGGAGGCAGGTCAGGTACATGTTGTCCTCATAAATTTGCAGATAAAAGTGATGCTGAAAAAGGT